ATCCTGGCAACTAAGAAGTCCACATGCGGCAGTGAAGATCCTGTAAGCCACAGGTAAGACCCAGCCCAGCCTAAATAAATAAATTTTAAGTAAGGACTCCCTGCTTCCAATGCAGGGGTTGCAAGTTTGATCCCTGGTCAGGGAACTAAAATACCACATGCCCTGGTGGTAAAAAACCAACCAGACTATATATATATATATATATATATATATATATATGGGCTTCCCAGGTGGCTCAGATGGTAAAGAATCTGCCTGTAATGCGGGATACCTGGGTTCGATCCCTGGCTTGGGAAGATCCCCAGGAGAAGGGAACAGCTACCCACTTCTTGCCTGAAGAATTCCATAGACAGAGGAGCCTGGCAGTCTACAGTCCAAGGGGTTACAAAGAGAGTCGGACACAACTGAGAGACTTTCACACACACACACACACACAAAACATATATATATATATAATTTTTTTTCTATTTCAGAAATACTTTTCAATCAATTGCATATATTCCACAATGACATTTAAGCAGTCCTTTAGACTTGGTTAATCCATTTTGCTTATTTTGCATCACTCTTTCTTATGGGTGTATCTTCCCTCATCTCAAGAGTCCTTAAATCTTAACTGTTGGTCATTTGACTGGAATTAAAAAACTGGGGTTTGAGAAGTAATCTCCGTCCTTCCACATACCTGCTGTGTAACTGGGCACATTTCTTAACCTCTCTGTGTCTTAGTTACCTCACTTAATAAAAGGAATAGTAATAGAACCCACCTCCTAGAAGAACCCACTCCTGAAGAGTGATGGAATGAGGCCGTCAATGAGCGGGTGGGGAGTTGACAGACGCGGGTTTCCTCCCTCCAGTCTCTCAGGAAGTTCTCGCCGCTAATCCTTTCACGCCCTGTGCGCACACTCTCCTTCTCCGCGGTCCGTTTCTCCCTCTCTGTTGGCACTGTCCCCTTAGCCTGGAAACCGGTTCAAGTCTCTCCTGTAGTAAGAGAAAACCTTGGCTCTCACCCTGTCTTTCTCTCGTCCCTTGCCTCCCTTTCCTTTCATATCTGAGCTTCTAGAGACAGGGAAACAAGCCGTGTCTACACCCCACACTTGCTACCATCCTGCATCTCCCTCCTGCCGTCCCCTCCACCCAGTGGGCCCTCGGCAAAGGTCATGGTGAACACAGCGCCTTCAGTTTCCTGCAGCAACCGCGGCAGGGTGGAGGAGGTATCGGGTGACCCTGGGGAGGTCTGTCCTGTAGGATAAGCTGGGGCACAGATGCTTGCATCCCTTGGATGGCTGTGTGATGCGAGTGAGCACGAGACGGGGGCTGGGGAGGCTTCCTGGAGGAGGAGTCACCTCCGCTGAGTCTGCAAGGGGGTGGGACAGAAAAGCATTCCAAGCCAAGGGAAGAACAGGGGGCAAGGCCAGGAGGTGGGAGGCTGCAGAACGTTCTGGAAGCCCCACGGGGCAGTGCAGGGGGAACAGGGAGGGACAGCTGCACCCGCCTAGCCCTGCTCTGTCTGTGTCCGCAGCACAAGCCCCTGTTGGCTTCTCCCCTGGAGCTCTTCCCCCAGCGTCCTCACACGGGGCCTCAGATTCCTTCTGTTCCTCTGGCTGTCTCACTCAGACACCCCCCGAGGCTTCCCCCCTCCCCAGCTGCAGGTTGGGGTTCTCTGCCTCTGGACTCTCCCACCTGCTCAGGTGTGCTCACCACCCCTCTGCCAGCTTCACACCCCACCTCCAGCTGCGCTCTGGACACCTTCTCCAGTGGCCCCAGCCCTATCTGTCCAGAAGCCCCTCCTCACCCCCCCCCACATCTCTTCTCCCTGCACCCCCCAATAACGGGCCCCAGACAACAGTCTCTCCACCCATTCTGACACCTGCCCCCCAGGCAGGGCACTATCTGAGCCTCCTCCTCCCTCGCCCACAGCCAGACCCGAGACTGTTCCCCACTTGGGCCTCCTCCCCCTCCCCTCGCTTCCTCCCGTCGAGCCCACCGTGGCTCCGCCCCCATGCCAGTGTTTCCAAGCGGGGTCCTCAAGCACTCCCTCTGTGACTCTATGTCAAAAGGTCCCCGAGGCCCAGAGGTCTGCCGACTTCATGATCCCTCCCTGTTAGGATGGAAGTTCCTCCTTGGGTCTAACTTAAGCCCCTCCCCCAAACTGGGGACAAAGTGGGTTGTGAGAACTGAGTCTTGAGAATGGACCCCGCTGCTGGAGCAGGACCATCCACTGCCCCTAGCCCCCAGAGCCTCTGCCTGCTCCTGGGTCATTGGCCTGTGAGGCTGGCAGGCTGTGCCCCGTTCATCACCAGCTGGGGCCTGAGCCGGGTCTTTCCTGGGTGTGCCCCTCTCCCAGTCCTAAAACAGGTTTGCTATTCCATGGCCCACTTGAGAAAGGGAGGTACCTGTGCTGTTTCACCTCCCAGGGAATAGCAGGGTTTCTGTGTGCCCACACGGTGGTCCTACCGGGACTCCCCCAGAAGGTGGCCTCGGGACCTGGGCCCAGCACCTGTGGATTCAGTTGAGGCTGCCAGCTGCCGGGAACCGGCACACGAGATCCCACCCATGACAAGGTCACGAGGAGAAAGCCTGACAGGCAAGGCAGATCAGGTTTTCAGGGATTCTGAAAAGCTGCCCCCGGCGCTCACCTTAAAGATGATATCTGTCTTTCTGATGCCTGCCTCAATAGACTACTCCCTAATTTCTGTGACACAGGCAGAAGGCCTTCCCCGATCTCTTCCCAAATAAGAATCAATTTGGAACTTTAATCAATAAGTTTCCCAGGTGGTGGTATTTTATGAGATTATCCAGGGTGAAAGGAGTGTTTTAATTTAAACTCCTTTGCTGGTAGTTTGTTAGCCAAATGCATTTATGCCCTTGGTACTAATATGCATGATTGCTTATAATATCCTAATCATAAAATAGCATAAAGAACCTGTTCATATAAAGGCCCTAATAGACATAGAGCATTTTTTGAGGGGCGAAGGAGTCCTATTAGAAAACATAAGAAAAATTATTCTAAAGGTGGTTATTGGGTTGACGTTTGCTTGCTGTGTTTTTGCTTTTAATGTGCTAAGGCTGTGTTATAGAAACCATTGTTAATATAGTTAAAGATCTAGAGAAATAAGAACTTAGCCCTAGTGTGGTAACAATGAAATGGTTGTTAATTGTCAGCCAGGAGTGCTAGGCAGAAGCTGCCTCACCAAAGTCGCAGAGTCAGTGTGGGGTAAACTTCTTAGATAAACGCAACTGACAACTTCTGCAGAAGGATTAATTTTTGTATTAACAAGGATATAATTCTACTCTGTACTATTGCCCTATGAGACCGCTGCCTTTCAGTTAAGGTCACCATAAAAATGGAAAATAGGTTTACATTCACCTGACCTGCATAAAATTTTAATAGGCCCCAAGGCCAGAAGATAATGTACAAGACCCTCATAAACAAAGAAGTATGCAGAAAACACCCTGGTTTCGTGAAGAACAAGCTGATGTAATGTTAAACTATCTTCCCTTAGAAATGTACTAATTTAGGGTATAAAAGCCACGGTAAAAAATAAAGCATTGCCAGACTCGCCAGACCCTGCAAACACTCCCGTCTGGTCATTCTCTCTCTCTCTCTCTCTCTCTTTCTCTCTCTCTCCCTCGCAGACTTGGCCCTATCAAGGCTGGTCTCACATGTCTTCTCTCTCTCTCGCTGACGCCTTTCATCCTGAGCATATCCCCTGGATCCTGCCGAGGCTGGACACCGGCAGCCAGCTAGCTTAAGACGGAGCACACACAGGGAGCTGGGACGTCTCCAAACACAGCCTGACCCCAAGTCTCAGGACAGCGGGACAGGGGCTTAAGTGGGACAGAGGCCTTGCCTCCAGGGCAGTCTGGGGACCCCCTCCCTGTGTCTACTCTGTCCAGGCTCTGGTGGAGGGACTCAGTTGACCAACTTGGGTCAGGTATCCACTCATGACTGAATGGTCCAGCAATTTTATTTTTTCTTTATTTTAAAAGTTGATTCACATACCATAAAATTCACCCTTTTAAGAGCACAGTTTAGTGATTTTAGTGTATTTGCAAGACTCTGCAACCATCACCACTATCTAACTCCAGAACCTCTCATCATCTCCAAAAAGAACACCATAGTCATTAGCAATCACTCCCCATTTCCTCTCCCTCTAGTCCAGGGAGCCACTAGTCTACTTCTTGTCTTTATGGATTTGCCTATTTTGGACATTTTAAAATAAATGGAATCGTACAATATGTTGTCCTTTGTGTCTGGCTTCTAACATTATTTTCAGGATTCATCCACGTTGTTCGGTTTGGATTCATCCCACCACGTGCGTTAGTTTCATAATTATGTCCTGAGCACAGAGAGGAACAAAAGCTCCCTTTGCAGAGTCACAGCACCGAAAAGCGATGCGCATTTATTGAGTGCCTACTGTGTGCCAAGCACTCGGGAAACAGCCGCGGTGGAGGGGTACACAGGCGCTGGGAGCGGATGAGCGCGCATAGCGGGGCCTTGGAGATGCTGCTGATGTTTTCAGTTCTGCTGTGACTCCTCCGGGGTGCTGACGGCTGGGAGGCGCACACGGCGAGTAGACCCGAGAGAGAGCCGGGAACAGCGGCCTGCGCTCCTTGAGAGCAGAGAGCAGAGCCGGGGGCCGGGCGTGCGGCCTGGAGCAAGGGAGCAGCTCAAGACGCCAAGTCCACCTAGCACCGCCCACCGCCCACTACCCCCGCGAGGGGCGGAGCCTCCGGGAGCTCCGCCCCGCGCCGCGCCGGGAGGAGGAGGAGCCGGCGGCCGGGCTGCACTGCAGCGCCAGAGCGCAAGCGGGCAGCGGAGGACCCGGCCGGTCCCGAGCGCCGAGAGGCTGTCGCGCAGGCAGACAGGCCGCGGCCGCCGCCGGACACAGCCCCGCTGCGAGCCATGCCGTGTGGGGGCCCCGCCTGAGCCGCGGCCGCCGGGGCCGGGGGCGCTCGGGCCCTCGGGAGCGGGCCGGGGCCATGCTTGCGCTGCCCTGACGATGCCGCCCGCCGCGCCCGCCCGCCTGGCGCTCGCCTTGGGCCTGGGCCTGTGGCTCGGGGCGCTGGCGGGGGTCCCCGGGCGCGGCTGCGGGCCGTGCGCGCCCCCCTGCCTCTGCGGCCCGGCGCCCGGCGCCGCCTGCCTCGTCAACTGCTCTGGCCATGGGCTGCGGACGCTCGGGCCCGCGCTGCGCATCCCCGCGGACGCCACCGCGCTGTGAGTAACGCGCGCCCGCCGCGCGGGCCCGGTGGTTGCCATGGCGCCCGGCGGCCGGCCGGGGCACGGGGCGTCTGCACCCTCCGGGGAGAGGCCGGCCGGGCGGGCGGGCCGCCGGCCTGGCGGGCCTCTTAGGGCGTGGGCGCGTCCCCGGCCTCCAGAAGGGGAAACGGGGTGCGGGCCAGGCCTCTCCCAGGGCGAGGCTCCAGCGTAGTGAGGGCGGCCCGACTAAATAAGGAAAACCTGGGCCCTCGGCCGGCTCTCAGCCCGCCTGGCCTCAGCCAGAGGGAAATAGGAAAATCCCGGATTCTGTGCAGGCGGAGACCGCGCGCCCGGCGGGGCCCCGGGAACGCCAGCAGACCGAGGTCCGTGGGCTCTGGCGGGGCGGGGCGGGGCGGTCTCCGGCAAACACTTCAATGCTAATTAGAGACTAATAGGATGCGGCTTGGCCTGGGGCAATACCCAGCACCTGGGAGCCCAGGAGGAGACAGCTGGGCTGGGCCGTGGAGAGCTATGATGGATTCTTGGAATTGGCCTGATGCTTGAAGTGGAAGGGGAAGACCGAGGGGCTGGACTTGGTCGAGCGCGGGTGTAGGGTACACCCCCATTGTGGCAGCTGTGGGGGGAGTGAGGGCAGGATGGGAGGTGGGTTAGGGTCCTCGCGGGCCTCGTTTGTCTTGCTTAGCGCTCTGATGTTATCCTGGGAACAGTGGGTGACTGTGATTGCCATGGAGGGGTTTAAAACGCTGAAAAATCATCCTCAGGTTTGCATTTTGGAGGAAATAGTAACACGCAGTCTTTATGGAGAGCTCACCTCCAGTCTCGGCCTGTGCTAAGGTGTGATTGTCATGCTTAACCCTCAGCCTGACCCTCTGAAATGAGGTGCAGCAGAGATGCCCATTGTACAGATGAGAACAGAGGCCGGAGGTGACGGTGATGTGCTTTGTCCAAGCACAAGTGACCAGTAACAGCCGATGCCTGGCAGAGGCAACGTTGGATTGAAAAGGGTGCAGGGAACTGAGATTTTCAGACAGTTGACCCCAGAGCTGGGGGCAGTCTCCCTGCCTGTGATACACATCCTCATGGCCCTTTCTGGGTGTTTCCAGACACCTCAGCTAGGACTCCACGTGTCCCTGGCTGCACACTGGAATCCCTTGGGGAGCGTTCAACATCCCCAGGCTTATTAAACCTTGGATTTGGTTTTGTAACAGTCCCTGGGCAACTCTGATGTGTGGCTGCCTCTTTTTAGGGGGACCCTCATGGTCTGTGTTCAGGCGAGTTTGGATGTTGAGGGCGGGGCAGGGGTGGGTGCTTCTCTTGGAGGGTTCCTCCTTGGGGCTCTGCTGTATGTTGTGGGGGAGCTGGTTCTCCAGGGGCAGCGGTTGGGAGCCTTGGGGCCACACTGTCGTCTTGCTCCCTGACAGTTGAAGTGTTTGCCGTCACGGCTGTCCCTGTGGAGATGGGCTTCTTGTCTGCAGCCAGTGCCCACGTAATCATTTTGGATCCACCCCCAGCCCTTGTTTCTGGATGTTGTGAGCAAGGCTGCCTCCATCTCTGGTGGGCCGAGAGCTGCTGGGGATCAGGCCCCAGCTCCTGCTGGTTATTCCTACTTCCTCGTCACCTGGCAGCAGGCTGGCCTCCAGGAGCTGTCCAGGAAATAAACGGTACTGGTAGGTTGGCCAGAGGCCTGCAGCAGGGAGCAGGCTCCCGGGCACAGTAGTGGAGCCTGAGCCTTGCGTATGTCTACTTAGCCTCTGGATGTCCAGGGAGCTGGCGGCCTGGCCTGAGCCGGCAGGATTCCAGGGCTGCTGGCCCTGCAGCCTGGGAGGAGGGAGTCGGGGAACCGAGGAGACTTAACGTTCCAGTTGACACTCTGAAGCTGCCTCAGACATTTCTGCAGGGCTGAGTGCAAGGAACCCATGGGAAACTGGACCCTTGACTGCAGATGCTAAGGCCCGCCCCCACGCCACCATCTGTTCTGTGTGGGGTGCCCCAGCCATCATCCTTGCCTGTCCACTCTGCAGACCCCCCACCCGCCCTCAGAGAGAGGGAGGCAGGTGAACCTTCTCTTCTCTAAGGGTGCAGAAATGAGGTCCGAGATGCCAGGGAGCCCCCTGGGGGAGGGTGTACGCGTCCAGGGGCCCCAGTGGGCCTGCCTCCTGGGTGTCACCCCTAGTCTGAGCCTAGGGGACTCGGGCCCGGCGTCTCTGTCATCAGCGTCGGGCAGGCACCCTCCATTTGGGACTCCTTGGCCAACCTGAGGTGCCGCAGGACAGCTGTGTCCTGACTTGGGGAGGGGGACAAGGGCTGGCTGATGGGGGATTCGGGGCTTGTGGGATGGCCCAGGGTTTTGAGACCCCAGCCTCCTTGGGTTAAATGATGCTTGCTGCCGGGAGGCGGCAGCCTGAAGAGGATGACGTCATTCAGTAAAAGGTGGTTGCGCTCCTGTTTTTAAAGCTTTTATCCTGGAGAGTTTGAACTTACACAGAAGTGGATGGAAGAGCATGATGACCCTCACAGACCCACTGCCCTGTGGCCTGGCCTGCTGCTCCACGGTCACCCCCACCCCTTTTGGAAGCAAACTCCAGCCATCCTACTTTTAATCTGTTAGCATTTGGAAATGTATGGTGACCCCTTGATCACACGCGAGACGGCGTACAGTTCCCTGGCCCCTTTCATGTCCAGCGTGTTCAGATTTGTGGCTGTCTCGGTGTTTTTAACTGGATCAAACTAGGCTCCAGATAAGGTCCACGCAGTGGCAGTGCAGCTGGTTGATGTCTTTTAAATCTCTGCGGGTGTGTAGGCTCTCCCGTCTCTCTTTCCTCTCATGTGATTTGCTGAAGAGACCCGCTCCCGTGGCACCTGGGGTGGGGTCGTGTCTCTCTGTGCCCCTCTGCCCTTGGTGTCCTTCCCGGACGCTGCCGGTCGGGCCCAGAGTTGTGTTGGGTGGGGAGCCACATTTCACGTGCTCGAGCCACAGGACCAGTGGCTGCCGTGTTGGCCGGGTCCGCGCAGAGAGTTCTAGATAGGGCGGCACTGCTCCCAGTGCTGTCTGTCCGTCATGTCCAGTGTGGCTGACTTTGGCCAGCCGCTTCTCGGGTGACAGCCAGGGGCTCCAAGTGGGCCTCGTACTGTCTCATGGATGTCTGGTCTAGGACCAGGCTCGGAGCAGGGACTCAGTAGGGGTTTGCTTCACTGACTAGGATACTGGGGCCTTGGGGTCTGCCATTGGCTGGGGACACCCAGGGCCTTGCCCTTCCTCACATGCTCCCTAACTGATAGGAGGGTGTGGGGGGCTCTGGGAGATGCAGCCCCCGGGGAGCTGCGCAGGTATGAGGGAAGGCGGGCATGGGGGAGGAGACCCCCAGGCTCAGTGTGAGCCTGGCCTGTGTATAACGCCAGGCACCATGTAGGCAGCCATGCATGTGGCGCCTGCTGCCTTGAGTGCTGGTGGGGCAGCAGAGGGTCCTGCCTCTGGGTCCCCCCGAGAGAGAGGGGGCCTGGCTGCCAGGTGCCTGGTCCTGTGCTTGGGGTCTTCAAGACCCACCTCTCTGAGGCTCTTATCACAGTGGAGCCAGTGTTAAAACTCAAACACCAGTGATAGAGAGGAGGCCGCTTTGCAGGGTCCCTGGAGGGATCTCCAGCGTAGGTGACACTGAAGCCAGTGCTCAGCGCTCGTGCAGGTGTCCCCAGCACCGGGAGAGAGCATCCCACATAGAGCGGACAGCCTGGCAGAGTCTCAGAGGTGCCAGGTGATGGAGGGGCGGGAGGTGGGGCCTCTGGAGGGAGGGCAGTGGGGGCAGCATTGAAGGACCCAGGAGGGAAGCGTCATGACTGGCATCTTCTAGAAAGAAGACCACGGGCTGGGGTGCAAAGACGTCTTGCGTGTGGAGCTGGTCTCCCCCTCAGGGTCCCTGAGCCGCCTGCTCTGGGAGAGGCAGACTGCGAGTGCGTGTCACACGAGCTTCCTGGTGAGAGCCGGACGGCAGAGCTATGCACACACTGCTCCTATATGTGGCCCCTGGCAGGGTGGGCAGGTGAATGGGGAGGCTCCAGCTGCAGCTGTGATACTCGGGGAGCTGAAGGGACAGACAGCAGAGCGCTCCCAGGGCCCGGGGCAGTGAGGACAGCCACCGCCCTGGAGAAGGGCGGGGAACACGCATCATGTCATCTGTCTGATGAAGGCCTTGTAGCTAAAATGCGTAAAAACTCTGTGACTCAAAGCTAAAAAGCGGGCAGAGGATCTGAGCAGACCAGTCTGCAAAGGAGACACACAAATGACCAATAGGCTCGTGAAAAGACGCTGTGTCTAGCTTTCAGGGAAATGCAGATTGAAACTCCAGGGAGATACCATTTCACACCCACTGGGCTGGCTGTCCCCAGAAGACAGGCGATACCCGGTGTTGGTGAGAATCCTTGTCTGCGGCTGGCGGGGATGAGCACACCTGGAAGACAGTCCGGCAGCTCCTCCGAAAAGTAAACGTGGAGCCAGCAGAGGGCCCGGCCGTTCTGCCCTCGGTGGATACCTGGGAGAAACGAAACCTATGTCCACACAAAAACTCGAACGCAAGTGTCCACAGCAGCTCTGTTCAGAGCTTCTAGGAGGTGGAAACAGCCCCATTGTGTACTGAGGATGGATATGTGCACAGAGTGTGGCCTGTCTGTAAAATACAGTTCGGCCATGGGGAAGAGTGTGGTACTGAAGCTTGCTGCAACATGAGTGAGCCTTGAAAACGTGTTCCGTGACAGAACTCAGATGCAGAAGCCACGTGTTGTGTGAAATGTCCAGAACGGGCAAGGCCACGGAGGTGCAAGCGGATGAGTGTCTGTAGCTGGGGTGGGGCTGGGGTTGGGGGTGGTGGCCAAGCACGCTGGTTTCCCCCCGCCGGGGGGGGTGAAATGGTCTGGAATTAGGGGTGGTTGCCCAGCCCTGAGAGTATACGGAAAACCACTGAACTGTATGCTATGGAAGGGTGACCTTTATAGTTCGTGGATTAAAA